TTCAGCTGATTAGATGCATTGCAAAGGCATATTGTTTTCTCTGCTCTTTTATTTCCACAGTAAATCTCGACACGGCGCCACTCGTCAACACAGAAAATATTAGACTGGAGGGAATTTAGAAAAGAATATTAAGGTGCCCTATACATATCACAATTTTCTATAGAAGAAGATATTAAATGCTGGGTTTACACCTTTGAGCTAGGGGAACACATGTTACCGCGGTGGGCAAAAGTGCATGTTGGTGTGTGGTGGTGCCATTCTTATTGGCACCCCAACTCCCCTTTCCAATGGATGCGTGGTGCAGTGCACCCCAACACATGGTAAGGCAATACCATACGTCGCAGTGCATCAAGTTACAGAAAATAGTACGTGCAACTTTGTTGGTGCATTAGGAGACCCAATCAAATAAATGAGCTACCTCAACGCAACAGGCATCCATGTGTGTGCTTTAATGTACCAGAACAGTGCAAACCCAGTTTTAAAGGCAGTGTTTTCCTCCACAGTGGCTTAGTGGTTAGCACTTCTGCTTGGCAGTAGTAGGGTTGTGCTGTGCCTGCATTGAATTTGCATGTTCTCCTTGTGTCTGTGTGAATTTCCTCCCACACTCCAAAGACATGCCGGTAGGTTAATTGGCTCCTGTCTAAATTGACCCTAGTATGTGTATGTATGAATGTGAGTTAGTAACCTTAGATTGTAAGCTCTGTGAAGACATGGACTGATGTGAATGTACAATACTGTATATATATGTAAAGCCCTGCATAAAAATGGCACTATATATCTGTAATAAATAAATAAATATTACATATATTGGTCTCATTCACATGGGTACTAAGGCCCATACACGGTAAACGGAACATCTGTCCCTAGCCAGAAGGCTCTGTGTGCAGGCCTCCCATTCATAGATAGACCATAAAGGTACATTCCAGGCATGGCATATTTTTATATAGTTACATTTTTCCGGCTTGGACCAATGTATACGTACTGTATATATCATACCTGCCCAATGCCCCTGGAAGCTAAACATTGCTGAAGTAGACACTGCTGCTCTGGTGATCTCCACTACTTTCCAAATTGTTTGCTGAATGGCTGACCTGCTGGATTCTGAACAGAAGAGGGTTGCTGCTTGGTGCAGGTGCATTCAGAGAATGTTTTGCCTTTTCTGAATGAATGCAAAACTTTTAATGATTGGACGAGGAGGAGTGCATGACATCACTGCTCCATGCCTCCACCTCATTCAATCAGAGAAAGATTTGCATTCATTCATTCAGAAAAAGGCAACGCATTCTCTGATTGAATGAGATAGAGAGACGAGGCAATGATGTCATGCTCTCCACCTCTTCCAGTCAGAGAACACTTTGCCTTTATTCAGAAAATGCAAAGTATTCTCTGAGTGGATCCTGCACTGAGGGGCCGACCACCTGTATTCACAATGCATGAGGCCGGCTGCTCAGCACAAGACCCAGAAGTAAGTGGAAATCACTGGATTAGTGGTGTCTAGTTAGCTAGGGGGGCTAGCTGATCATTTTTTAGATAGAGGCTGAGCAGCAGCCTAGGGATATAGTCATCAGGGTCAAATTTGGGTCAGGGCTGAGAAGCTCTTCAGATCAGTTCCTTGATAGTTCTCCATGATCTACAATTTGAGAGAAGGGGTGATGAGGGGCTGGTCTGCATACTCAAGGGACTCTGGCCAATCCCCACACAGAAGGCTTGGCAGGAGACCAAAGCAGTCCTTAAGTATGACTGAGCCTGCCCAGAGGCAAGAAAGTTCGAGTGGAAGAAGGTTGAGATGCAGGAGTCTGGAAGGGGGCCCAGTGGAAAGGGGCCTACCTACAGGCAGGAAGCTGGAATGGAGGATCGCTCAGCTTCACCAGCCCCCAGAGTGAGGACCACCTGTACAGCTGGGAAAGGAGCCAGTCCTGTGGAAGGCTTGAAGGCATCCACCTACCTACACCAGCTCACAGGAAAGAGACTGAGTGAGTAATCCTACGCCCCCTGGGCCAGTTAAGGAGAAAGGAGCACTCTGGTGGGAAACCTGAATAGCTCCTTCCCTGTTACTGTTCAACTAGGCACTGGATCCCCTTGCCCAGGGATTCCTTCAGGCAGCTGGATAAGAGGAGGATTTATCTGGGGTCTGAGGTGGTACACCGGGAGAGGCTGGTGAGCTACAAGGAGAAACACTTCTATGGACTTGTATATACTTGCTAGGGAGTTTGTCCTCAGTTTGCTGTTGCTTACCTCATCCAAGTTCAAATACCTCTAATAAAACTTAAAAAAAAACAAACTCAAGGACTGTTTACTGTCTCCTGTATGCAAGCTGGAATGCAAGTCTGAAGAAAATGCGTGTTGCCAGGCTGTGAAGGACTATAGGGGGACCCAAATCTTCAGCAAAATTTAAGGGGATAGTGCTACACATTGGTCCAAGCCAGATCAATTAAACTATGTAAAAATGTACCATATCTGGATTTCATTTTTATCCCCTCTGGCAGTATTCCCGAGTGTAGCTCGGGGTTAACTTTCAGTACCAAAAGCAGTAACCCCAAGGTACACTCGGGAATACCCTGCAGCGTTGCTCTGGGATTCCCTCCAGCACTTACCTTGTCCTGCGCTCCCGCGATGTTCCTCCTGCAGTGTCCCCGGTCATCTCCTCCAGCTGATGCCGGCATCCGTCTTCAGGGTTCCGTTCCCTGCGAGTGTCGGGACGTACGGGGGACGGAACCGGCGGGAAATTAAAAAATAAAAAAATGTGACATTCACTAAATACACTAAAATCACATAGTATAACATTACTGTACCAAACCATTTCACATACATTTTGTCCCGAGTGCTGTGTCCTGTGCCCTGCCTGCATTTTTACTGTTCTTTCTGCCTGGAAACTGAGAAACGTCCATGGCGTCCAAAAAGTGTCCCTTTAGGTCAAAAGCGGTTTTAGATCAACTAGAGAACAGTGATAGTAAATCAGAACTACTTGCAGAATTGAGTGAATTGAGTGGGAAAATATGTCATCAGACACTGAAAACGATTTTGCGACTTTGCTCAGTGATGTGCGAATTTGGCGCTTTATTTCAAATTTCTGTGTTTTTGGTTTGATTACATTATTGAATTAAATTTATTATTATTATATTATTATTATTTTTTATGCTTATTTATTATATTATAATTTATGATTTCGTGTTTCAAATTTTATCATACCCAGGATGTTTACTAGACTCTTGTTCGGACAGATTTCAGTGAGATATTCTTACGAATTACAGGCCTACAATAAAAAAACAACATATTTCCATGCAAAAAAATGTACCGCTTTGAGCACAGAAATACTGACATAATCAGACTGCTAGGGAGGTTAAAGGATCACTCCTTTTTGTACTGCAACTCAAATATCCAAAGTAAGTTTTAATCTTGAAGCCAATAATGTCTGGAATTACCCAGGGGGAATGGGAATAAATTAAATGTACAGGATTTGGCAAAATTTCACCAAAATTTTAAAAAATTTGCCAAAAAATTGTAAATTTTTGCTCATTCCTACGAGTATTTTTTTTTATATTTTGGTCAAATTTAGCCATTTTGGTTAAATGCATTGGAGTCAGCAGGGAAGGTGAAGCACGGTGGCCAAGTGGTTAGAACTTCTGTCTAGCAGCACTAGGGTTGTCAGTTTTAATCCCAACCATGGTACTACCTACCTGGAGTTCATATGTTTCTCCCTGTGCCTACGTGGGTTTCCTTCCACCTCTAAAGACATACTGGTAGCTAAATTGGCCCTAGTATGTGTTTGTGTATGAATGTGAGTTTAGGGACCTTGGATTGTAAGCGCCTGGAGGACAGGGACTGATGTGAATGTAGAAAATATGTGTAAAGTGCTGCGTACATTGATGACACTATATAAGTGCCTGTAATAAATACATTAAAGTCTAACTCAATTTTTATTTTTATTTTTCCCCTCTACCGCCATATAGAAAAAAAACAAAGGGTGAGTGTGAGAAAGGAATACAAAGCAACAAAAAGGAAAAGATTTTGTTCAAGGACAAAGGATAAAACGGTAAACTGTTACTAACAACCATGTAAGACTCTCTGTGCCTGGAGATGAGCTTTCAGAAAAAGAAGCTACAATTGGGCTTGCACACTTAGAGCCATTCATTTTTATTATATGTGACATTTTCAGTCTCATTGTGCCACAGAATCCATTATTTTAAAACAAGCTAAATATTACTGCAACATCCACCCTACCAAGAATTACAACATTCCTGCATTGTCTAGAGACTACAAAACAATTTCACTTCAGTAAAACAATGGGTTGACATGTGAGATCTGACACCTGCTTGTTTTAAGCATGTTCTATTGTTTGTGATTCTCCCTCTCTCTCTTCTCCTCTCAGTTTTGACTCTGCAGATAAATTCAAGCTGTCATTGTATTACATTTTATTTATTTATTTTTGATTATCTGTTACTCATATCAGCAATATTCTCCTTTTGTTAGAAAATTCTTTTTTTTTACGCATGTTTATGTAGGCTAGAAATAATTGTTTTGTCAATCTTGTAAACAATGTAGCTTCTTCTGTTTCAAGTGCTGCTTTAGGCATTGGCATAATCCCATAGATCCAGTCTGTATAGACCATGGGGCCACCTGCTGACTTAACACCATCCACAGGCAACTTAACTCTTCAATAAGACAGAAATACAACACAATTGCAGTACAGGGGATATTTTCCAGTCTTTTGAAGTATAAAAAGACAATAACTTTCCTTGTTTCTGAGAAGAACTAACACATGGATGAAGCAGGGAGAGTCTAGCTAGGACCGAATTACATAGCATTACACAGGAGGGGAGGACAGAGGGAGGTACAAAATCACAGAAAAACATTTGTAGTGGCCCTAAACCACCACTAGAAAGCAAGCATACATTAGAACAAAATAAACCTGATACAGATCAACAGGAAAATACATATACTGTAAGTGGGACAGAGCATAGCTTATAGTACCCCAGTCCAAAGTTTAGCTACAGCGGAATTTAACCTCCCTAGCAGTATTCCCGAGTGTAGCTCGGGGTAAAGTTTCTGTACCAAAAGCGGTAACCCTGAGCTACACTCGGGCTCACCATGTGGCGCTGCAGAGCTTACCTTGTCCTACGCTCTCGCGATGTGTCCCCTGCAGTGTCCCCGGCCATCTCCTCCGGCTGATGCCGGCATCTGGCTTCTGTGTTCCGGTCCCTGCGAGTGGCGGGACGTACGGGGGACGGAACCGGCGGGAAATTCAAAAATGTAAAAATGTGACATTCACTAAATACACTAAAATCTGATAGTATAACATTCCTGTATCAAACCATTTCGGCATCTGGCTTCTGTGTTCCGGTCCCTGTGACGTCGGGACGTACGGGCGCCGGCGGCGGCGGGAAATTTGAAAATTTTTAAAAAAAATGTCATTTTTTTCAAAACGAATTTTACATAATAAAACATTGCTGTTTCAAACCATTTCACATACATTTTGTCCCGAGTGCTTTGTCCTGTCCCCTGTCTGCATTTTGACTGTTCTTTCTGCCTGGAAACTTAGAAAAGTCCATGGTGTCCAAAAAGCGTCCCTTTAGGTCAAAAGCGGGTTTAGATCATCTAGAGAACAGCGATAGTAAATCAGAACCACTTGCAGAATTGAGTGATAATTATCATTCGTGGGGAAATTCATCATCAGACACTGAAAACAACTCTGCGACTTTGCTCAGTGATGTGCGAACTTGGCGCTATATTTCAAATTTCAGTGTCTTTGGCTTGATTATATTATTGAATTAAATGTATTATTATATTATTATTTTTTATGATTATTTATTAAATTATAATTTATGATTTTGTGTTTCAAATTTTATCATACCCGGGATGTTTAATAGACTCTTGTTCGGACAGATTTCAGTGAGTTTTTCCTAAATATTACAGCCTACAATAAAAAAACTACATATTTCCATGTAAAATAATGGTATCGCTTTCAGCACCAAAAATCTGAAATAATCAGACCGCTAGGGAGGTTAAAGTGTATTTAAAGGCTATTTATAGTAGTAGTAAAAGATTAAAACCTCTGACATGTTTTAAACCCTATATCCAAAAGGTGCCTGGGAGTTAAAGCGGACCTTGTGTCGGGGCATGCTCAGTGGAGCATCATTGGGGGGCAGCTGCTAGGATTCGAAAGAAAAACAGTTGACTCCAGATGATGTCAGCAAAAAGATGGTGGCATGGAGTGGAACCCAACATGCAGTGGCTTTTGTCTGATTATTCCAGGACAAATGTGGCAAGTGAGTATGTTATGTGAGCTCAAATCAGCGGACACGGTGAGAGGAGTACAAACAGGGAGATTGTTAAAATAAGGGAAAAACTCACATTTTGAGTTATCACAAGAAGTGGAAGTGATCTTCCCCTCACATCCTGTTTTCTTCATGTTCTTGTGACAAACAAATATTTAGCATTTTACCTAATTTTGAGATTATCAGGTTGGTTACCTCACTTTCCTGCACTGCAGTTAGTCACAGACCCAAGCCTACCAACAACAGAGAAGCATCACCATGCATCAACAGAAGATTGATGTTCGACCTGGAATCATATTCAGTAGACATGTGCACGCCGGGATTTTTACCTTTCGGATGCATTCGTTCATTGAAGAATTTTGTTTCGTCATTTCCGGTATGTTGAACCAATCTGTTTTCGCCATTCGTGTTGTATATTTGTTGGTCTGGGTGCATTTGAAAAATGTTGCAGTTTTTTGGAAGATTGCTATACATATACATTAGTTGTCAGTTTAAATATTTTGGGTGGATTTGATATTCATATTACAGAAGAAACTATTCGGAAGGATTCGATATTTTTGGATGCAGCAGAATAAATAATGCAAACTGCGGCAGGCCTGAATTTATCAAACCTGAACATTGCATTAGACTGTGGATCTAAACTGACTGACTGACTGTGACAAATACAAATTCAATGTAAATTACAAATTTACTTGAATCAAATTTTTTAACAAATTTGAAAATTGAGATCATTTCCCCATGGGCCCAAACTATTATAGCACCATGCGACATCATCCGAATGAAACAAATGCATATGTTAATTTTGTTTTTAATTGAACTTTTTTCAGATTTGTTGACATTCGTTACTATGTCCATTCAGAGATTTGTATACATCCAATTGTCGTCCAAATTTTCGTCTGAAAATCGATTTGTCACCTAAGGAAACACATACGTATGTCTAATATTCTCACTTGTACAATGCTTACTGTATATTTTGTGGTGATGAGGTGTGATAAATGCAAAGGATGTTTTTTCTTTTCATATCCAAATCTCATGGAGGCCCCTTAAATATGGTGCTTTAGGTTTACATCCTCAAACAGGGCATAATGCCCATAGATAAATACAAGTAAATAAAGACCCCCCCCCCCCCCCCTTTGTTAGATGCCCTTTGTAGGTTTCCTTATCATTCTTGCCCATCACCTTCTTATCCTCCATGATTGGTTAGACACTTACACGATAGCACAATGCTGTTTTAATTATTGCTGAATATGATTCCAGATCTAATGTTAATCTTCTACTGATGAAGTAAAGGTTATTAATGAAACCCGTTGAACAAAAGTCCTTGGATCTTGGAAACATCTGAAACAACATGTTCAATAATGACAATGTAAAATTTTAACTGAAAGGGAGTGTAGATCTTTTTTGTGGATGGTCAGATCACTGAATAATGTGAAAAGAATTATTGCCAAATCATGTTTTATCATGAGAAAATTGTGATTTTAAGATACTAAGATTAAAAGTTATGAATTTAATATTTTTGGTATTATATTAATAAGTGTTGCAGTACCTAGAAAGTCCCCCTTAGTTTTGTATTTAAAATGTTTTTTATGTCAAGGCATATACAGTATTTGCCAGCATGTGAGTTGGTGCAGCATGGTGTGGCAGCAGTAATCACACAAAGTCCAGTTGCAAATAACCAAACTTATATTGAGGTAATGGTCCAAAGTCACAAGCAGCCCAGTGGGAAGACACCTGACTGGGGGCACTCACAATTATGTGCGGCAATGTAATGTAATGTGGCAATATGTGGCAATGTAAAGCAGAGCAGGTCCTGATACGCTGACAGTGTCTGTTTCAAAGGTTGGAATGCGGCCTGATGAGTCAGTGCCCAACTGGGGGGATTTCTGGAAAGGATAGCATGTCCCTATCTTATCTCTACTCATCCAGAACCTTTCCCCACTTTTCCTGACAGAGAGGTAACCTGTCCCTACTATGCCCACTCGCAAAATGCGTGCCAAGCCCAGGAGCCAGAGTCTTGAATGGACACTGCCTGACCCAAGATGGCCACCAGAGTCACTTGGGACAGCAACATCCAACCGGATTGCTTCCCAGTGACCCAGGAAACCACAGAGGAGTAAGTTCCTCCTGAATTCCTCTCCCTCTACAATACTGCTGCGATACTAGCAGGGGTCAGGGGATATGCAGCCTCATAGGCATCACATGGGCAGCACATGGCCCTCATGGGCAGCACGGTGGCTAAATGGTTAGAACTTCCTCCTGGCAGTACTAGGGTCGCTGGTTCAAATACCAACCATGGCACCACCTGCCTGGAGTTTGCATGTTCCCCCTGTGCTTGTGTGGGTTTCCTCCGGATACTCTGGTTTCCTTCCACACTCCAAAGACATGCTGGTAGGTTAATTGATTCCTGTCTAAATTGGTCTTAGTATGTGTATGTATGAGTGTAAGTTAGGGACCCTAGATTGTACGCCTCTTAAGGGTTAGGGACTGATGTGAATGTACAATATATATGTAAAGTGCTGCGTAAATTGACGGGGCTATATAAGTACCTGAAATAAATAAAATAAATAGGACAATCAGGGGAGAACGGAAACTCCTCCGACAAGCTTTAACCAGTGCTCTGCTGGACACTGAAAGAAGACACAAGACTGCTATATACTGCTGATGAGAAAAGGTATTTAGCAGTTTATTTTTACTAAAATATTGCATTTCCATGTTTTGTGTACTTTGGGAGATCAGATATAGTGAATGCAGGGTCCTAGGTTTAGTAACACTTTAAGTACTTTAAGCCCCCCCCCCCATCCTTTCCATCACTACCAACAACACCACCATCAATCCCGCCCAGCAAGCCAAGGTCCTTGGCGTCATTCTGGACTCAAACCTTTCCTTTCAACCTCATATCAAATCACTTACAAACACATGCAGGCTCCACCTCCGGAACATCGCCAAGATACGCTCCTTCCTTACCCCAGACACCCCTAAACTACTCGTACACTCCCTGATTATCTCACGCCTTGACTACTGCAACTCCCTCCTCACCGGCCTACCCCAGTGCAAACTCTCCCCGCTTCAGACCATCCTGAACTCAGCTGCCAGACTCATCCACCTCACCAGCCGCTCCACCTCTGCCACCCCCCTCTGCCTCTCCCTCCACTGGCTCCCCATTGCCTAACGCATTAAATTCAAATTGCTCACCCTGACCTATAAGGCCATTCACAACACTGCCCCTAACTACCTCACCGACCTGATTCCCAGGTACCACCCTACCCGTACCCTTCGTTCTTCACAGGACCTCCTTCTATCTTGCTCCCTGGTCTCCTCCTCCCACGCACGACTGCAAGACTTCTCCAGGTCCTCCCCCATCCTCTGGAACTCACTACCCCAATCCATCAGACTGTCACCTTCCCTCCTCACTTTCAGGCGCTCCCTGAAAACCCACCTCTTCAGGGAAGCCTACCCCACCCTCACCTAACAGCCGCTGCCCTTCCCTCCTTCTACCACTCCATCCCCCACGGCCGTTTCCTCCTGTGACTCTACCCCCTCCCTCCTAGATTGTAAGCTCGAAAGAGTAGGGCCCTCTTACCCCTTGTGTAGTGTTTGATGTTACTGTTCTGTTTCATGTATTGTCCCCCCCTCTATTGTACAGAGCTGAGCAAACCCTTTGGCGCTATATAAACTCGATAAATAAATAAATAAAAATAAATAAGTACTTACTTTCCCCCTCCCCCCAATGACCAAAAACACCCAAGAGATATTCCTAGGGAAATCTACAGGGATCTACTGTGCAGCAGTGCAGAAATACAGAAGATTTTTCTAGATACTGAACTGTGGTATGTGAAGTAAGGAAACGCTGGTCTATAGCAGCTATAAAAAGCTTTTTTCTCCTGGGCCCTGGGATAGCTGTACCCTCAGCCAAACTTCTAGTTACTTCCAAAGTCATCCCTACCTCCATCGGAGCAAAGGTGGTCTGTTGCTGGCTGGTAAACAAGACCTGCTCATGCAGTGAGCCAGTTTGTTTGTATTTT